ATTCAGTAAATCCTCAGCTGTAATTAATGCAATATGTCAACAATGGAACAACTCAAGAGGGCAATTGTTGCGCAAGTGAGAGTCTTCGAGACACTTAACCGTCTGCAAATCGCCTTTGAACTCCACGGGAACCCTTAAATCAAGTCAATATAAGATATGAAGCTGAAAATTTAGGGAAGAGAAAAGGGAGTCAAACAAACCCGCCATCAGCTAGGAGTCAGCCCACTGGTGACCGTGGAACTTATTTTTCAATCAAATATACTGCAATATAAAGAAAAGCAGAATTGAAATGCTAAAGCGGTAAAATTTTATATCAAGAATACCAAGACTGCCCGGATTATCAGTGTTTGGTCCTACCCAAAAGCCGAACGCCGTAATGCCAAGATGTCGTGCACTAATAAGTGGTACCCACAAGGAAGTAAACGACCAGTCTGATAAAACCCGGAAAGGTGGCGTGCGCAGATCGAATAAGGGAGGTGTGTGCTAACTGGAAAGAACATACAGCCCTGAAACAAGAGATGAAACATTGGTACCACATAATATTTTGCAAAACGGTTGCGAATGAATTTTTTTTGAATGTGTCGGAAGATGAAATAAAATAAATGTTGGAAGATGGAATGAAATGAGCAAGATATTGCATCGGAGACAAGCAAATAAGATTAATGTGCTTCCATTTTCAGCCATAAGTATTTCACAAAAATCCATCAAGTATTCGGCTCATTCCTTTACGAGGACTAAAACGAAATGAAAGGTTCTTTTTCGAGGAAGCAAAAAGAGAGGAGATTAGGACGAGAAATTTTGAGAGGGTGGGGAAAGATCTCGGAAGAAACGATCTGGCTTAGGGAAAGTAGTGAAACTTTAAAATAGAGTCGAACTAAGGATTACGACTGATCAATGTACTACAGCTCAGCAAAGTATCAAAATAGCATTCAAGAAATTATTATTTAATATTAACAAAATCTTTTATACTGCACAGAAGCGAATCTATATTTAAGAACATCATGATCACCCAGGGCATCAGTGTAGGTATTCCGTGTTAATAATGTTATATTGTAACTAAATAGTTTTTGAATAATTGCAGTTTGTTGCTCGTGATGAAGCCGGTGACGGCGACGGCGATGTCGAGTATCGACTCATCAACACCGAACGTAAGACCATCCTAGATTTATACAGGATTACCGCAAAGAAGCCAGTCTCTTGAAGCTTAAATTTTTGATATCTTAGATTTTGATATCCCTTAGATTTTGATATCCTTTAGATTTTTGATATCCCCTAAGTTTGCAGCAAGTGGAACATTTACGGTTGATCCAGTCACGGGTATTGTTCAGACAGCTGTGAGACATTACAAACCCGGCGAAACCTATCGAGTTTTTGTGCAAGCTCGAGATCGGACACCAACAGACTATCAAGTTTCACAGGTATTAGTTTTATAGTATAAGTAAATATCAATCCGAATTAATTTGGTCCTCGAATTTAGCATTTTATCACTGCTCAGTGATTGAATTAGCATAATTAAAAGTCACTGATTAGGTCTCAATTTTATTTTATTATTGTATTTTATCAAATTTTTTTATAATAAATTCAATTTATGATTTATAATATTAGATTTTATTTTTGTCATAAAGAACTGGCCATCTTTTTCAAAAGCCTCCTAAGATGGAAATGCTCTGGAAGCTGGGGTTAAATTTGTACATGCTGATAGCTAATTCACTCATAAGCAAGGATGAAAATGCAAGGATCTCGCAGAAACGGGTGAATTAAGATTTACATAATTTAATAATTGATTAGTATATAAAATTGAATAAATCGGTACCGCTGATTAATATTGGTTTAATCAATATCAGGAAAATTAATTGACGTTTGTTAATTATTATCTATTTAATTAGCATTTTTAATATCCAATCAAAAGCCATGATATCCACATTTGCTCTTTCTGGATATTTCTTTTTCGATAACCTTAGGACAGCAAAGTGGCAGTACTGGAAGTATATGCCGGTGATCGAGCGCCGCAATTTGTCGAACAACAGTATAGAGTATATGTCCCAGAAGACACCCAAATTGGTTCCAGGTACCACTAATTTTTCCCTCAAAGTTGC